TTGTCCCTCTAGAGTCAGAAGGATAAAATGTTGAAAAAGGGTTGAGATTCTAGAAAAGTGAATTTTGAAGGCCCTAGTCAATAGCCTAATTAAGAACCTAATTGATGTTAAACGTTTTAAACGAACAGGTTTTTTTTTTTTTTTAAATGGTGGTACTGGGATTTGAATTCACGGCTTTGTGCTTGCCTCCAGTCCTAAACTAAGTTTTAAAAAAATGATGGTGCTATGGTATTGACCCCTGCTTAGCTTGCTGTATATGTGTGTTTGATTCCTATGTCATTTTAAATATACTTGAATAAAACCAGCTCTTTTCACAATCCAGCTTTGTTGTTGTAGTTTCATGATTTTGTTGAGACAGGTCTCATTAGGTAGCCAAGGTTGGTTTCAAACTCACGATCCTGCCTCAGCCTCTTGAATTCTGGGATATCTTTCCTTTTCATAGGGAGAATGGGGGTAGTGGTGGTGGGATAGTGGCAGGGCAAAACAATGAAAAGAAAATCCCAGGAAAATAAAATAAAAACAAAAAACTCAATCTAGCACATCCCCAATTTCAAGTTAACCTGACTGCACTTTGTTTTTTTTTTTTTTTTTTTTTTTGCTGCACTTTATTTCATACATTATTTTCAAGCTTTTCCCTGTGGGTACTTTTTTTTGGGGAGGGAGCAGCTGTACTATTTGAACTCAGGGCTTACACACTTGCTATGCAGTGCTTTACCACTTGAGCCACACCTCCAGCCCCCTCCCCATACTCTTAAAAAATTAGCATAGTTGCAATCATAATTGATTTATATATTTTTTTTGGTGGGATTGGAGTTTTGAACTCAGAGCTTCACACTCACAAAGTAGGTGCTCTACCATTTTTTTTTTTCAGTATTGGATTTTGAATTCAGGGCCTTAAGCCACTCCACCAGCCCTTTTTTGTGAAGGGATTTTTTGAGATAGGGTCTCTCGAACTATTTCCCCGGTCTGGCTTTGAACCTCTACCTCCTGAGTAGCTACTGTTACAGGTGTGAGCCACCAGCTCCCAGTTGGGGCTCTGCCACTTGATCCATATCTCCAGTCCATTTTGCTATGGTTATCTTGGAGATGGGGGTCTCACAAACTATTTGCCCGGGCTGGCCTCCCATCTCAATCCTCCTGATTGATCTCTGCCTCTCAAGTAGTTAGGATTACAGGTGTGAGCCACTTGCACTTTTAAAATGTTAACTCGAGCCCAGTGTGGTGATGCACATCCATAGTCCCAGCACTAAGGAGGCTGAGGCAGAAGGATGAGGAGTTGGAAACCAGCAAGACCTCATCTCAAAAAAACCCAAAACAAAATAGAAAAAGAAAATAAAAATGTTAAGTCAGCAGTTCTCAACTGAGGGTGCTTTTATTGTCCAGCACACATTTTGATTGTCACAACAAAGGCAGTGTGCTGCTGGCCTTAGGGAGTATAAGCTGGGGTGCTGCTCAGCATCCCACAACACACAGGACAGCTCCCCATCACAGAGCATCTGCTGTGAAATGGCAATGGTGCCAAGGTTAAGAAACCCTGCATGAATCCATTAGTGTTAAATCAGATTCCAGTATGAACAATCATCTTCTTTTAATGCCTGAATTAAACCCCAATGTCATAATTAACTTAACCATCGCTCTGATGTTAGGCTCTAGGCCATTTCCATTTTTCTCTGTTACAGATAAAACTGCTAAGGACATCGGGACCCACTTTTTTTTTTTTTTTTCTCTCTGCGAATTATTTCCTTTGGATAGATTTCCAGAAGCCAGAAATACTGAATCAATGGGCAGGAGCACTTTTTCATATTTCATGAGTCACGTTGCCATTTGGCTTTACAGATGGAATGAACAAATTGCCACCCACCAGAAGTATATAAGAGTGCCAGTTTTACCAGCCTTGGCAATACTGGGCACTACCATTAACACGCAGAAAGAGGCAGGAATCTCAACTATGAAATGGCACCCACAATTCACCTCAATATGCTTTTTAATTGCTACTCAGGATGAGGTTTTTTTTTTTCATGTTTGTTTTCTATTATCATTTTTGTATGAATTGTTTATACCTTTGCTTTTTTTCTAACTGGTTCTTAATGTTTTTCTTTTAAACTAGGATGTAATCTTGAGTACTGTTACAGTACTTTGCTGTTAAAGTTAATGAAATTATTTTATTTTTTTTGGTGAAGTTTCTCCCTCCACTGCATCCATATGCTCCTGCTTCCTCCTGGAATTTCCATTTATAAGAGTGTTAAACTCTTTTTAGGCGCTGCTGGCCTCGCCCACCTGCAGCCTTTCCACAGGCCCTGGGGAAGAAGAACAGCCCTGTGGCAATTGATGTCAGCGACCCACCGAGGAAACAGCAGAGCTGGGTCTCCCAAGGTACCCCAGGAACTGATCTCCCTTAATCAAATGGAGGGCCTGCGGAGGAGCCACGAGGCAGGAGGAAATACATGAGAAGGAGAATGCCAAATTCGGTGAGGACTGAGAGGACCTGTGTTTGGAAAAGGGCCCCGCACCATCCCCGTGCAGCTATTAACATGCAAAAAATGCCTTCATAAATACTTGATTCGGCTCACAGTGGGGAGGCAGTTCATTTGAAAGAGGAAATGGGAGCTTGGAATTGAAACATGTCTGCCTGTCTCCTTTTTCTTTTTTCATTGCTCTTTTCATCTCCTCACTTCCCCTTGTAGTTCTCGTCCCTCCCTTTCCGTAACTTAACCCCCTCTCCCGACTCCTAGAAGCTGCCGGTGGCAGCTCCTGCCCTCATTTCACTGATGGATTTGGCTCCAAGGCCCCGGTCCTCGGGTTAGGCGTGGGAAGGATGCCTGGCTTTTGGGATCCTGGTCGGGTGTGCTGTCGGTGGGACCCTCACCCTATCTGCTCCTGCTCAGAGCAGGCCTCCGCCGAGGACACGAGCGGAGGTTTTCAGTCCCGCCAGTAGGGGGCGCCCGAGGCAGCCCGCAGAGCCAGGCCACCGGGAACCGAGTCTGCCTGCCACCCCCGCCCACGCATCAACAATCGCTTTCTTGGTCTAGGCCTGTGACTTCTTACTGGGTGGTGACATCAAAACATTCCACCTTTGGGATTCGTCCTCTGTCAGCTAGCACTGTGATTAAAAAAAAAAAAAGTATTTCATATGATTCAACTCATAAGATGGCCAGACCCAAGGGAGGGAGGGAGGGAGGGAGGGCTGAGATTCAGTGGGGGATTCATGGAAAAGAAAAAAGGGCAGAAGCAGCTGATGATACTGATGGAGCTCAATTTGGTGTGATATCCTCGCCTGCCTCAGAGCTGGAAAGGTGGAAGGAACTTACCACGTTTGCCAGTGGCGCATCCAGGTAGGTAACTCAAGTCTGGAGGGCAGAAATTTGTTTCTAAATCCTTTCCAGATGCTTTATAGTAAACATGAAATTAGTCATTTATGTGGAGTAGGTTGAGGAAGTAGTTAAAATTGGAGTCAGTGATTAATCTAATAAAGGGCCCTTAGCCTCAAGAAGTAAAGTAGGGGGGGTGAGGGAGACAAGGGGAAGTACTCCTACCTTCCCCACCCCACTTTCTCTGGGTTTGGGGGCTGGCCCAGCTCCCTAGTCTTTCTCTCAAATGACTTCTCTTTCCTGGCCTCTTTCTAAAGGAATTAAGACTACCTGTCTAACAAACCAGCTGCTTCTGGTGGGACACCTCATCCTCACCCTCCCAGGTCCTCATTTTACAAAGGAGGCCCATAGAGTTCTCAGAGTAAGCAGACTGACTGCAGCCATGCAGGGAAACCAGGATTAGAGTTTAAGACCCAAGGTCTGTGCTGTTCTTTCTGAGTGCAAAGTTCATACTTCAGTCTAGGAGTTAATTTGAGATGGCTGAGCCACTTTTTGATCACAGGTGATAGTGGGGCCCCTGAATCACAGAGGGCTGTGTGAATTTGGAGTGTGTTCAGGATATGGGAGGCATTTGCATGGCCTCTGGATTTGTGTGATTAGTAAAATGCACCATATTGTATTTTCCTTAGTCACAGTCTCTTATTAAATAAACAAAACAAAACAAAAAACACCACCCAATATAGGTGTGGTTCAAGTGGTAGAGCACCTGTGTGCAAAGCTCTGAATTCAAACTCTAAAGCCAGTGTGCCCTAGCCCCAAAGCCTCCAGATGTCTTATAAAGGGCATCTGCAAAGTAGGTACTAAACAACAACAAAAGCACAGCTGGCCCAGTTGTATTTTACCTCAGTGGAGGCCTGACCCAAGCCTGGGGTTCTGACAGAGTTCAGGTCCTGCCTCAGATGAAAACAAGCCCATTTCTGTATTCTTTTTAACCAGGCAGTGGCAGGAAGTTTTTTAATCAGGGAAAAACCAGGTAGTGGCAGGAAGTTGGAGATAAGGGAGAAATAGGGATCGTGGATGGACGGCAGACACAGGCAGGGAGAGATGTGAGATTCCCCTGGAGCTGTGTGGGCTGCTTTAGCCTCAGGTGCCCTGGATTCAGCTCTAGGAATTCCCCTGAGTTGTCTCTCTAGAGAGAATCTAAAGATAGCCCCAGCCTGAGAGCTTCCAGTGAAGAAATGAGCTTATAAATATTTCTGCACATATTTCCTTGTACCACTAATAGGTATGCTTAACCCATGCAGATGAAGCATTTTCTTCTTTATTTATGACTATTCTTGCATCTCCCACCCTCTGACTGCTATTTTCTCTCCCCATTAGGAATGAAAACCTGTATCTTCTACCTCAATGGAAGCTACAGGTTGATCTCCTTATTCCCTTTTTTGACTTTGCAGAAGTCAGGAGAAGGCTGCCTCTGCTTATAGTCCCAGACAATATAGTCCCAACTGAGTTAAGACATTCCATGCCTAAAGGTAAAGGAACATTTGTGATGTTACACCCGACTTGCTTCATTTTACTGATTAGGTAAATGAGGTCCAGAGAGATGTAGAGTCTCACATAGGGTCACACAGAAAACTGAGACAAGAATCCAAGAGTCTTATTCTCCATATTATGCTCATACAGAGTCAATACCTGCTTCTCTGTTGCTTGGGTCAAAGGTGAGGTTTCATAAAGATTCATGTGAAGATTGGTTCTGGATTCAGTGTTTGCTATGGTGAAAATCAGAGAGAAAAAGGATAAAGGTTGTCAGATCTAGGTCTCATAAATTTTCATGTGTATCACTCACATATACCTAATTAACATGTGTACAGGGTTATAAACACATATGCTCCTGTGGCATTCGTATTTACTCATCAGATTGCATCCATAACCTCCATAGGGATGATCTAAACACTGGGCTAAATACATTGTTAAGACCTTATATTTAAATTTGGGTTTTTCTTGTTTTGGTTGCTTTTTAAAAGAACAAAAGTAAATGCTTTGTGCTATTAAAATTCAGATAAAGCTGAAATTAAAAAGGAAATATTGATGGAATAAAACCTGCTGATGCTGTTAAATATAAATTTTGTATGATTGCACTTCGCTGAAGTAGGAAAATGCTTCTGTGTGCTCTGAGACAGAGCGAGAGAAAGGGAGTGGGAGAGAGAGAGAGAGAGAGAGAGATCAGAGACTTCAGTTCCCCTCATAATGTGGAGGGGTAACAGGAGAGGTAGGAACATGAAGCAAGTCAAGGTCAAGGTCAAAGTGGGCTGTGGGAGGAGACTACTAGTGGACATCAGGGAGCCCATCATTAAGTGGGCGCCACACAGACATTGACATGGCTTTGGCCTGTGGTTCCCGTGACGTTCCTCTATGGTCGAGGTTATCACTGCTCTGTCCAAGTGCAAAGCTGAGACTCAAAAGGTACAGTCACTCACCCACAGTGTACAACTGAGGAGGTTTGGAGGAAGAATTTGTCTAAGACTGCCTTAGTCTAAAACGGCATGCTGCTTACGGATAGGATTTATTTTCTTTCATTCTCCCTAAGCAAGTAAAGGTAATGTTTATACAGGGATGTTTATTTGAGGAACAGTTAACTAAGCACGTGGTTCTGCTGATAAACATTTTAGTCTCTTTAATGGGACCAGTGTACCATAAGATGTTTTTTTCCCTTCTTTGTACTCATCAGTAGCTCTTTGAGCTTATGGCCATCTGTAACTCTATATCTTTGTCATTTTGACTCCAAGCCTATACTCAACCCTGTGGGATGACCTTCCCTTTTCTCTTATTTCTCAGCTGTTCTCTGTCTTGTTTGAAAATGGCTTCTGCATTGACTTACAGACATTTCTTATTTGAATCAGCTTGGGGGGAAAACTGAGGCCCAGAGAGTGATTTCATGTGATTGGCTTATAGTTAGTCCTTGCAATAGTGCAAAACCAGGAACCAGAACCCAGATGCCCTGACTTTTGTGCTTTCCTGCCATATCCCACTGCTTCTAGTTAGCCATGCTTGTGCTGGCCACATCACAGCTGCCTGGCCATGATCCATCTCTGGACAAATCCGGCCCAGCAGGATTGTGTTGTGATGAGGTTGACTTCACTGTGGCTTGGAAAGAAGCATGGGTCTCTCAGAAATGAAACTTATAAATTCTAATGCAGAAGGGAAGTTCTTGCAACACCAGAAGAATGAACCAGTCAGCCAGAGTTCAAGAAATGTAAACACATTTTTAGATAGGAGACTGAAAAATCGCGTAGGACTTCTCATCTTTTGGGTCAAGACCTTGGTAATTTACGGAGGTCCATCAAGGAGGAGACGTGACTCCAACTGCATTCCTTAGAGATAAAGCAATGGGGGTGGCAAAACTCCTTCTTGGAACAATATGGCAAGATCTACCCTTGCTATCAAGTCAAGGAAACTGATGAATCCACTGACTAACCCAGGCAACTGCCTGGGAACACAGGGCCTGCGTCTTCCTCCTTTTTCAGGAGCTGTGTGCACATCCACAATCCTTACACTGCCCCACTTCTGGGCTGCCTGAAATCCAGAGCTCACACACAGTCTCTCTGTGATGAACATTTCTGCCACGAAAGAGATAAACAGAAACACATTCCAGCACCAGGCTCGAGCAGATTTTCAAATGCTAGCATTAATCTAACTGCAGGCTTTTAGTGAGGAGATAGCACTCCTAACAGATAACCAGGCCATCTCAGAGGTGACCCTTACTATAGGGGCCTCATCCCAACCCTTTCTTGTCTTCTTCAGATCATGGCATCCTTCACCAAACACTCAAAACTTGAAAAGCAAGAAAGAGCGTCTGGTTCTAGAATGGAATACTGCCCCTTAAATTTTTCTTCTATTTAAATCTGTGTTGACAGTGTATACTTCCCAAATTATTGTTTTAAGGAAAAATGAAACATGGTCATATTTATTCCCATTGTTTCAGAGTGCTTATTTCCCTGGGTATGGAAGCTCTGATGGGCCCCATTTAGGGTCACAATAGAAACCTAACTCCAGAGAGAGTCACCAGACTCCTTCCTAGATGTGTGTCAGAACTTGGCAAAAAATTTTGAACCTGCAGCCTCCAAAGTGGCCAAATATTCCATGGTTACCAGGGCAGTAGCTGTTGGAGGTGCTGGCAGGAGCCTCTTTTAAAAAGTCTGTTTAGGGCGCTTTCCCACACATCCCGTTTCTTAGACATGAGTATCTTTGATTGCCAGTATGTTCTTACAGAACTTGTCCCGTAACTCGAAGGGTCTCATCTCCAGGAGGTGGTAATCCTACTGTCCAGTGAGTGCAAAAAGCCCCTTTGCATTCTCACAGCATTACACACAGATTTCTTGGCCCCAGCAGAAACCAGAAGGAGAAGGCTGTGAATGTCAGCCTTGGTACCTTCATGATTTTGTGTTTTGGTCATAAATGGAAAATGCTAATTCCAGATTATTAAAAAAAATTTCCCAGTATAAACTTCACTATAAAAGGAAGGATAATTCTGGTGCTGCTGACATTTCCTTAAGAATATCTAAAAATACTTTATATGATGTGACTTAGATGCCTATGACCTATAGAGTGTTTGCAGTATTATAATAAATTTTAAGTCTGCTTGCTTAATGCATGACCCAAGCTGGCCTTTGGTATTGTCATTATCAAACTCTTAGGACAAGATTTAAGACTCTGTTTATGCTACATATTTCCCTTTAAATCTTCCTGGGTGGGGAGGAGGGTGAGACAGGGTATCATACAGTTGTTGAGGACCTGAGAAAACCTCAGGCTAAAGACATACCCTGGGGGCTTTAGTTAAGGAGCCAAGTAGACAGATTTAGGAAATATGAGTCAGTCTGAATTTAAATATGGAAGCGCCTCGCAAATGTGAGGGCAATATATTTCTTCTAATTTGGAAAAACAGTCCTTTTATTTACTTACCTCTTCGTACACCAAATCTAGATAAGTCTCAAGGGTCCAGCTTTACTTTTGGGAATACCAACTTGTCTCAAAAGTTCATAAATTATTTTTTATGGAGAAATCAAAGGTACATGGCAGTTTACCAAGTCCCAATTAGAAACCAAGCTACAGTGACAGAATTTAAATTTCAACTGTGTAGCAACAAAATATCAACTACAGGAGAAACCCTCCACTCAAGATGCATCTTGGGATAACTTCCTTAGATGCTACCTGTGGCCCTTCAGGATCTGTCTGGCTTCTGCCTACCTCAGGAGCTGAGTTCCTCACCATTCCTCCCCCTGCATCTACCCTATGGTCCAGTCATTACAAGTTGCTTACATTTCTCCCATGCTGCCATGTTCTCTGACCTTCACATGGTCCCTTGCCCTAGGGCATCCTTTCTTCTTCACTTGGCTCAGTCTTACACAGTATACTTTTAGATATTCAGCTTAAGTGTTCTCTCCTTCCTAAAGCCCAGGCTGAGTTCAAAGCTCTCAACACATTCTACCACTGTGGACCTCTTGAAGGCATGATCTCTGTCTCTCAACTGTATTTGCTGTGTACTGTTTGTCACATTAGCGTTGAATGAATGAATGAGTGAGCGTTGTGCTTTGTAAAACAGACTCACTGATTCTTTTTGTTGAGCACATTCTAATGCTGGTGTTTACATTAATTTTCAAATGGGCAATTGTGGGGAAATAGACAATAACAAAATCTTTAGGCTATAAAGTGTGTGAAAAAAGCAAGACAGAAAGAGAAAGGAAAAAAAAGTTCTAAAGAAAAGTCTAATGCTTCATATTTAAAAAAATTTAAAAAGCTAGTATCAATCTTTTTATATTTTTATTGGCATATATTAGTTGTTTTGAGGGGAAGTTCATTGTGACATTTATATATGTGCTTACAATGTATCTTAATTAGATCCACTCCTCCATCATTTTCCCTCTTTCCCCTCCTCCCCTTCTTAGAACACTTAAAATGGCTCTCATTGTTCTGTTTTCTTTTTCATTTTTCGTGGTGCTGGAGTTTGAACTCAGGGCCTCACACTTGCTAGGCAGGCACTCTACCACTCGAGCCACTCTGAGCCACTCTGCTAGTCCTTTTTTGTGTTGAGTATTTTCAAGATAGGGTCTTGGGAACTCTTTGCCCAGGGCTGGCTTTGAACCATGATCCTCCTGATCTCTGCTTTCCAAGTAACTAGGATTACAGGTGTGATAGAGAGTGAAATGCATTGATGTGTGTGTGAAGATGGCATAAGGAGATGCACTGAAAGCCTCGTGCCTCTTTATGGCAGTTTTTGATGAGAAGATAACAAATATCTAAAGGGTAATGAATTGGAAACAGTATTTATGGATTACTGGTTAATGAAAGTTAAAACATTTTGGTTGCTCTGATAGAAGAAAAATTAATGTTTTCAACTTTAATTTACATTAAGTAATTCCCCTCTCTCAAAATCCATACCAGCCTTAAAATGTATTGTGCTAAGGAGTGAGCCTGGGACCTCACTCCTCGTGCGTGTCCTGCACTGAGTGAACAGCACATCCTGGCTATTTGGGAGAAACACTTCCTGAGAATTACAAGCATCCTTAGGTTGTGAAAACCCCCAGTGTATATCCTAGCTCCAGTACAACTGAAGTAGAACTGAAAAAAAAGGGAGAAGTTTTCAACAATTGGTGGGTCTATAAGTAAAGGATTAGAGTGATTTATAAAAACTATTTTTTTGGCAGAAAGCCAACAAATTGTAAGAGCACTTCACTTTCTCTTAACTTCCATCTCTTGTCCCAGCAGTTGGTCC